ACTGTGTATTGAAATGATGGTCTTTGATTTTCTCAGCTTTTTTAAAAAAATTGCAAATTTGTTTAATTTGCCTGAAAACAAATGAGTTTTTTTTACATAAAATCGAGAATTCTCCAATGGGTGGATTGGAACAAAGTAATTTTCTGCAAGCATAATTTTGATGAAACTTAACAAAACTGAGTGGATTGATTTCCATGTACAAGTAGAAATCTGTGGGTTTTGAAATTGATGTCTGCTCCCTATATTTTTCAGTTCCAATTATTTTAATTCTATGTTAACTGGGTTCCATATCATTAATATGGATCACATAATTGCATTAAAAATCTGTTAGTCGTCATACTTTATAGGTCTGGTTATCAGAAAACAGAAGCAAAGAGCAGACATGAGCATCACAGTTATAGAAATGATGGAACTAACGAGGGAAGTAGCTATAATTAAAGGGGAAGTTAGAAAACCTTTCTTTCAACAGTGAATTGAGCATGGAGAAAATTACTCCTGGGCATTGCCGATGACAGTCAGGGGAACTTGTAGGAGCAGCAGGAAGCTTGTCATTCGGTGTTTTCAATGGCAAGCAATGTGTGGTTCTAGCTGGTTAGAATTCTGGTTATATGTCGGGAATTTCTATGTTATGCATAGGAACTCTGTTGAGTCGGATTTAAGCATAGTGATGGGTTTCTGCATCTGCATCTGTCAGTTGCCTGGCTGACCAAAAAAAAACTCCAGCAGTTACCCCAACTGATGTTTTGGGTTCTCCAAGCCTTGGCTCTTGCCACCCTGTGGCAAACACTCTCAAATTAGGCAAGGTTGTTTATGTTCTTCTAGGGAAAGTGTGCATTCGATTGCAGACACAGGGAAACTTCCATGTGTAAGTGGCATACATATGTGGAGCCTTCCCTGGTGTGGATACTCTTAAACATCATGATAGGTTTCCATGCGTGTCTGACACCGGCTGACAAGAAAAATGCTATACTTGCCATATAGTATTCTGTTTAAAGTTTTGTTCACATTAAGCAGGATTGTTATAGTATTATTTTTCAACCTATTGCAGCAAAGTTTACAGAAGTGAACTAATTTATGAATTGAATTGAGCCCCCTTTCCTCTTTCCCTCCCCTCATTTTTCTTTAATCAGCTGGGTATTTGACACATACAGAAACCCATCACCATGCTTAAGATTTTCCAAACTAGACTGTCTGTCAACAGCTGTGCTCTGGAGTATTGCAGACCCGCCTGGCTCAGGAACTGGACGACTGAAACCGCCACAGAGGGTGCATTTGATTCCGACATTCTGTTGCCAAGTATACCTCACCTTGAATCAGCCTTTCCTTGTGTCCTTAAGGTGTGAATCTTGCGGTGGTTCAATTCTGTGGATCCATCACTTTCAAATAAAAATTATAGTATCCCCAGTGGGATAAGTGTGTTCTTCCCTTTCCCTTAGTTGTTTGATGAGATGGGCAACAGATGTGTTATGTAACATTAGACAACGTTAATAATAATACTAATCTTTGCATTTGATACAGCACATTATTATGTTATTGAGATGTTTCATAGCGCTTCACAGAATACATTGTAAAGTGGATTGATTGTGTATTTGTGGGGGAAATATGGCAGCCAAGTGCATACAGCAGTGTCCCACAAACAGTCATGTCCATTTTTTTTAAACAGACTATTGTGCTGTTGGCGTAACTTTGTGGGACATTTTTAAATCATCTAATAATGTAGTAGGCAACACATTTGATTGAGACATTTGAAGTGAATGTAAATCCAGTAGAGGTACAGTATTCTGGAAGCATTTAATTGGGCGTATGTCACATATCTGAACACTACTGTCACATTGGAATACTGGTGTGGAAATGACAGCTGTCCCTTTGCCATGTGGCATCTGCTATTACTTTGATGTATTGTAGGAGTAGTTTTTTGGCGTCCTGGTTACAAAACAAAATTGGGAGCTGCTTGGTTTTCAACCATAAAACAGCATGCTTATGCATTCAATTGACAGCAAATAGCTATGCATTAAACCAGAGACAATCTGTTCATGCAAAGAAAACTTTGAAAACTTGTGTTCAGTAATTCTTGCTTTTAAACCATTTGTGTTTCAGTATTTATTCATTCTGTCTGGAGACTCAGTTAGCTGTTGCTCTGGAATTCTTAATTAATCACTCAGGATGGATTGCAGCCATTCTGGTTTAACAGAATTGTGGCTGTCCCTGGTTAACTAGTTACTGGCTGATTATACCATACTGCGATACTTCCTGAAGAGCACAAAGTTTTGGATGTTCTTTAGCTGTATTCATATAGTTTTAGGCGGCTTTTTTTTATGCTGGATATTCTTTTTAGAAAAATATCCCACAAAATATTTTGCCCACAAAATATACAGTCAATTCATTTTACAGCATATTCTGTGAAGCGGGTTGAGATGTCTTGAAGTCGTGATAAGGCGCTATATCAAATGCAAGGGTTATTATTACATCATTGAAAAAAATAGCTTGACTCAAATTCATAACGAATTGGGTCTGTGTTGCATGTAACCCAGTCTAGAATGCTACATAAATGTGAATTTTTGCTTCCACATAGCTAATTAACCAATGGTGAAATCTTTCCACTTTCCAAAATAGAAGTTTGTAAAATGACATTATTATTTGGACCTTATTAAATACTATATTAGTTAACTGATTATTTTGCTACCTTGAGTTGGAATCCTTTAATTGTCTACAGTAGTACCAACCAATCTATTTGCCAATGGACAATTTTCTGCCGTTTTAAAAAATACCTCCAACGAAAATTGTAATATAAATAAAATATTTTGCATGTCTACTTAAACAGAATTGCTTTTCTAAAAATAATTCTTCTTCTCGCTACTTAGGTTGTACCACATGGGCATATTTTAGATAAGATGAAATCGAATATTGTATTGGTTTACATTAAATTCTGTGATCAAACCAGTACTAATTCATACATCAGTTTGAACTTGATAATTGCACTTGTATACATAAAATGTTTCATTTAGTTTATTGCTGGAGTTAACTGATTAATTTACATTAAACTACGACTAAGACTATTTACTGAGATGTTTGAAGTAGAAGCTCTCAACCTTAATGGCAGTTTAAAAGTGCTCCAGAGTGACTAAATTGAAATTCAGCCGATATAAACACGTCTCATTTGAATCCGTGCTCCACTGTGGCCCCACTTTGCATTAAGCACATATGCTGGACTGTAATTTGATACTGTGTGATGTGACCCCGGTTTAGGGCAAAGGTGCAGTGTAAACATTAGAGAGATCGAAGTCAGTTCAGATCAATGGAGTCCAAATATAATCTGATCGGCAGTGTAAACTGGGCAAGGATTTTATCAGCTGATGAATTGCAACTACAGCCTTTGGTTTTACAGAATAAATACCAACATTTTCAAGAAAATGTAGCCCTTGTTTAAATGCTCTTACCCAAGAAACCCAATGAGTCAAATACTGTATCAATGAATATTTGTTTGATAACTCGATCCTTTCAAAAAGATCCATTAGGAACTCTTTAAATGTGAATAGAAAATAGATTTGCATTCTTTTTGTATTGAATTTCAAGGTTATAAGCAACATGTAAAATTATCCTGTTTGAGCAACAATTACTGTCCTACTTTATTGATCCTTTTCCTGCAAAATTTCAAGATTGTGAAACGTATTTATAATCTGTTTTTGGTTAGAACTTATGTGCTTGAGGGTTCAGAACTATAATTTTACTCTGATTTTATTCTAGAAGAAAAAGGTTTGGGTTCCAATATGATGATCCCTTTTGTAGTTTGGTGGTTTGATTATTTATAATGAGTAACAATGAGGCTCTCAAATTCCCTTTTGATTATTTAAAAAAGTCCCACAATTACGGGTAGTTTTTAATACTGTTGTGTAAGCGATCCCCAAATAATTATAGGACATTTTGGTGACTATTTTGAGGAGTTTTGTTTTCAGAATTTGATCCCAGGTTTAAAATGCGGACTGCTGTTGTTTTTACAATTATTACGTTTTAAATGGTTAAGATTTACTCACGCATGTTGATGTGTTACATTTCTTCAGTTTCAACTGAATAAGATAGAATTTAAAATATACACAGAGTATTATATCTTGTTTGCTTAAGGCAGGTTGGGTACAATTGTACATATTTAAAAAATTAGTTATCTTTTTAAAAAAATCATTATTACAAACCGGATTAAAAGGATAAATGGATTTAACATTGCGGAAGAGGTGAAAAAGCCGAAACATTACTGACCATGTATGACAATTGTATACTGGCTTTAAGTGGCAGGTCATATTTATGCCCACTTATCTGCTTCAGGGAACATTCTTGATAGCAGCAGTACAGAACCCACTGAATAACGTAGTTTGCTTTGCAAATTAATGCAAATGAGTAGGCCCGCCGAGAAACCCTTTACTGGGTTGTGTGCTTTGATTATGACTGAAGCTGCCATTTGGACATGGTGAAAGGAGTATGCTTGAACCATTGATTAGGGGCAGCAGTGAAAAAGTCAGGAAGGCCCTGTTAATCTTGCAATGCAGCAGGCGGATGTCAGTATGGTTTGAGCACAGTGGGAGAATGACAGGGAGGATTAGTGTCAGCAAGAGGCTTTGCCGTAGCTGTGGAGATGGTCCCTGGGGTCACTCACCTCTGTGACTGCATTCTGCAGTGACGGCTTAGTAATACAAACCCCATGATGCATGGTTGTTCATTACTGGGGTCAGAGATGATTATATATGAAGCATTTATATCTTCAGGGATTTTTTAAAAAAAAAAAATTCTATTGGCAACGTTATTACAGCAAAAAAAATTCACATCTACTGATTCTCTCATTAACAATCATTTTCAAAATGGTTTGAAATAAAACGATTTCTACAGCAGAATTTATTGTGGTAATTAAATTAGTTAACATTATGAAATGTTCCTATTTTACGTGTTCTTTGATTGGTTTGATTGCTTTTTTTTCTGACTTTATCTCCCCACTTTTTTGGACATCATTACAGGCACCTGAGTGGACAGAAGAGGACCTTGGCCAGCTGACAAGAAGTATGGTTAAGTTCCCAGGGGGTACTCCAGGTCGATGGGAAAAGATTGCTCACGAATTGGGTCGATCAGTAGCAGATGTGAGTCACTTGGATTTGCATTGTATATTGAGTGACAAAACCAAACAAGACAGGCAGTGTAAGGGCAGCATAGATGGGGTTAGACAGTGTCTGAAAAAGCTGCAGTTATTTTAGGACCTGGAAGTGAACCATTAACTAACTAAGCAAGAAGCAGATGTGGGAGAGTTCCAATCACCGAATCAACAGCTGTAATTGATCAGTTGTACAAGGATTCTAGTACTCAGAGGTTAGTGCTACTGTAATGTGATCACAGGAAGACAATATCACAGTACAAAACTATGTAGTAAAGCCCTTCCGAGTTGTGAAAGGACATTTGTGTACTTAGTTGGGAAGATGCTTTACATTTTACAGAGTAATTATAGTCCAGTCCTCGTGGATCGGATGTTTTTGATCAGATTATGAAAAACAAATCCATTGTTTAAATGTTATTTGTGATGCATACTGATTAAACTATGAATTAAAAGTCTTATTTATTAAACACTGAATAGAAAATGTTAGACACTGAACTCATTTTAGAAATGCTCCAAAGGCTCTGATATCCAAAACATGGGATTGAGATACCCTCGTGATTTTTTTCAGGTATAATGTTCATTACTGACCATGTTTTCGAATTCTATGCCAATTCAAGGTGTCATATTTAGTGTGCTTTTTATCGAAATATTACAAAAGAACAAACTGCAGGTGTTTATTTCAGATGTATGTGAAGCTGATACTAAATGTCTACCAAGCTCAGTACAGCAAAACTTAATTTATGTATTAGTTATCAACACATTTAATAATACATTTATTAATGTCTGTGAACCATAGAAATTCCCCCAGTTTTTGAATAAAACTTATATTTATTGTTCAAAGTTTAAAATCATTACAAGTACCACTATTTCATTAACCTCCACAATTGCTCTTTTTTGTTGTGTTACGTAATGGGATATTGAAGAAGTAACTTGTGCATAAGATTTAATGTAATTCTGTGATCTATAAAGTTTGCAAATTCACAATCTGTAATTGGGAATGGGTCATTCTTGAACAAGGGTGGTTTCGGCCTTCGAAGAACCTCTGTTTGGCTTCTGCAATGTACACATTCATCAGTCATTTTCTTTAACAGTAATTTACTACTTGAGAAGCAAAACATGATTGCATTAATCCATAACAAAAACCTGTGTCTAAATTTATTAGATTAATTATTTGGAAATAGTATAGTTAAAAAGTAATTTTTTTCCTGTCAGAGCAATTGATTTTGTTATTCAGAAAAATGCCATTCTTAATTTGTTAACCAATGTTCCTTTTGAAATGTGGTATCACATTGGTCAAAGGGTCCATTTTGTTTCAAGAAAATAATTATAAAAGAAGCAGTAATTTACTAACCTTAATATTCATTTATCAAAATACCATAAGTCAAATAACAGTAACCCAATTCTAAAACTAAAATCAACTATGAGTAGAACTTGCTCCCTTTCATATTTTCAAAACAATTGGATTACCAAATGTAACCATGGTTTGTTCCCTTGATTTGGTAAATCAGTAATTTTGTTTTGGACAAATTGAAACCACTTTGCTTCCCAATTAGTATGTATCACTATTCAAAACAAAACTGATGAATATTTATGTTGCTGTGCCATACAAAGGTTCTTCCTAGACCTGAAAAGGCCCCTTTGCTGACTGCTTCATGCCTCTATTGAATACCCAATTGATCTATTTCCGTAGGTTTTTTTTTAAAAAAAGTTTTTTTCTGAATGTTCCTGAAATAGTTTTAATAGTTTTATTTTTCTGGTTGTGCAGTTTTCAGAATTTTTTTCATTTGCAACAGTTGCCTGAAGTGCTTGTATTAACTGTTTTAAATGCAATCAAAATCTTTGATTCAACCAGTGTTGTTGTATCCAGATAAGATGTAGATGTTAGAATGTTAGATGCAGTGAATGATCTTGCATGCCTGTTGATATATGGTATTAATCTGTTGGTTTTCATCAGATATTTGCTTAAACCAGTTTAGATTTTAATCTAATGAGAGATCCCAGGTTCTGACCCAGTTACCTGTACCAGCATTCTCTTTCTGGCTTCCCACATCTGTTCTTTGACCCATTTTCCGTGCTGCATTTGTAGCTCCAGGCTTAGCTCTCATTTCTGTCCCACAAGTGCTTGCACTACGTTGTGTGACTAACATCTGACTCGTTCTTCTACAGAAAAAGTCACGAATTTAACTGTCTGCCAAGCTGACCAGACTGTAATATGATTATTAACTACCGCAGTGCTAAAGTAGAGGCAGGGAAAGCTTGAATGACTTATTTGTAAAGTAATATCATTCATTCAACCCTGAGCATGTAAACTGAATCCGTTTCCCTCTGTGGTCACTAATCTCTCGTATTCAAACCGTGATAGTAGTCTGATAGGGGATTTACTGTCTACACTCAGGTAGGAAACAAAACAACAGACAGGTGGGTTGATGCTAGCAGACCTTTCTAATTATTGTGGTGCCTGACAGCATGTGGTAAAAGGACTGAAGTTAGATAAGCTGTCCCATGTGTCTTAGAAAAGATGAGGAAATGATTAACGGGCTTTGTACCAAACAGGTTGGGAACACTGATTCATGTCGCTTTTATATGCATACAAAAAAATCAAAGAGAATTTTACTGTCTAGGGTTTTACCAGGTAACAGCTGCAACGTAGTCAATGAATCTTATGAGACAGAGCATTGCAGGCAAGCTTAGAGCTGTCTAGTTATTTAACTGGAATTACTGTGATATATGTTACAGCAAGTATGGAAGGGAAGAAATCAGTGTAACCAGCAGTTGGCCAGGCCAAAGTTGTATTTCAGAGGTTTTTAGGTTGGTCATTTGGTAATGAAAGTTGTATCTTAATGTAATTTTAATGCTAAGATAAGGTGACTAGGTAGGCCAATACTAGAATGGGAAGAAGAAAAAGATGGTGAAATTTTAGAGAAAGCCTTTCAGAATTAATCTTTTGGTTACGTAATGTTCTTTAAGAAGACACACTTTGACATTTTTTTTGTAGATTTTGAACATATATTATAAATTAGTGAGATGTTAAACTGAGGTCCAGTCTGCCCTTTCAGATGGACGTTAAAGATCCCATGGCCCTATTCGAAAATGAAGGAAATTTCACCTGATGTCCTGGCGAAAATCTCTCAAATAAAATTGGTCATTTATTTCATGGCTGTTTGTGGGACATTGTGTCCAAATTGGCTGCTGCATTTACTTACAAAATACAGCAATTCCTATGAAGTACTTGATGACGTGATGACACTTGTGTCAGCTTGGCTCACTCTTGCCCCTGAGTCAGAAGTTTGTGGATTCAAGTCCCATATCGGGAGCTGAACTTACATAATCTAAGATGGCACAGTTCGGTGCTGGGGGTGTATTCAGGTGGACGGAAAGATCCCATGGCACTATTTGAAAAGGGAAGGAATATTGCTCTGTGCAATTGTGCTGCCCGTTTGCCAAGAAGTACACAAGTCCCTCCATTTCACAGTCAATTTTGTGAAGCTTTGATACGTCTGGTGTGATAAAGTGCAAGGATTATTATTATTACATTAAGACACTATATCTAATGCAAGGATTATTATATAGCAACCTTCTGGCTCTTCCCAGGTGCGCACTGCCCCTTTATTTCCTTGTCCACATGTGCTCCTCCTCTCACTTATCCCTTCTCTGCTTGTGCATGCTCTGTCTCTTGTTTCCCATGTTGCACAATCGCTCTGTCTGTCTCTGCTCATTCAACATCTGCTTTCTATGCCTGTGAGCTTGCATGGGGTGGACATGATACAGAGAGAATTATGAAAAGGTATTTATTGTTTTTGCCTGTTATGATATTGATTCTACTTTAAACGTATAAGATTCTGCCTATCTCCTCTCAAGCACTTGGTATGATTTAATATAATACGATACAAAGAAAAGGTGATAAATGCACGAAAAGAGGGAAACTTCTTTGATGTGTTTGTTTCCCATAACAATCAAGCTGTATTGTTTGGATTCTTGGGTTAGTATTAAAATGTCATGCAGGGTTACTTCTTTTCCCTATTGTTAATCATAGAATTCTAGAAGACATGAAAAGGGCTGTATCAAATGCAAGGATTATTATTATTATTATAGTTAGGTTTCTCTTACTCAGTTGTTTTTGTTTTGTTTTTCTCATTGTTTTCCTCTTCTAAAAGCAGTGCCTGGTGTTTGAGGGTGTCAGCAACCGTCAAATACTTACTTATTCTTTACACTCTCTCTTGTGCATGGGCATACGTACAAGCACACACGCTAGACACTGAATAGCAATCGGGAGCAGAGCAGGAACCCCGCTGATATATATTGTTTTCTTTAAGCAAGAGCATTAGGCAGTCTACCACTGCTGCAGTTCAGATCATCTTAATGTTAAGGATAAATGTGAAGCCTTCCTGAGGGTGAAATGATTCATTGTGTTATTACACTTAAAGACCATTGTCTTAAAATTAAAGATCACACTGAATTATGAAAAACTTAATTTGGAAACTGTTTTTCTGCACTTTTGGGGGATTATTTTGGAAAGGCAGCCCTCAAAATAAGACTGAATTTAAGACTTTTCAAAAGTTTTTCATCATTTTAAAATTTTAAGTCTCAAGGCTAAGACGAGGAATAATTTTGAGCCTCTGATCAAGCGCTCCGGGACTCTACCCCAGGTAAAGGGCTCTATATAATCCAAGTTGTCGTTGTGGTTGATCAATGTGGCTCAATACACTGAATTGGTGCGGGAGCCTACCCAACAGTATATTATTTTAAATTCATTTGGGATAGCACTATCTTTGCCTACTTGCTAAATCAAGCTGCAGTTGAAAAAAAAGCCGAATGTGGCTACGTGGGGAGGGGGATATTCCCTTTGTGGTGAGTTGAATGGGAAAGTCATGTGAATGAAAGTATTTAAAAGAGACTAATGTCTTTGTGGTTTGCTCATGACATCTTTTCCTGTGGCCAACGGAGGATAATTTAATCTGAAGAATGACAATTTCTTCTAAAGAAGAGTAA